CTGTAGCTTAGTATATTTATCCAGTCCTGCTCAGGGCTCGACATTTAAATGGGGTCCGCTGGCCCGGAAGCACTATTTAGACACCCCGGGCCGGCATAACGCACTTTCCACGTGCCCGCTCGGGCCACTAAAAATATTGGCTTTAAAAAGAAAATGTCCTGCGGTATTGGTATTTTGACTAGCAATTTAGTTAAATTGTTTCCTTATTGACGCTACAACATAGCGTTCCGTGAGGCGGTTGTCCGTTGTTGGGTGAAAGCAAACCTGTGAGCTTCCCTGTGAGCTGGAGCGCGCTCCTCCTTCTTCACTACAGACTATCGCGCACCTAACCATTCGCCAAAATGTTTTTAATACCAGCGTAACCGGCCAGCGCCAGGCAAAAAACACTCTTCAAATTAAAGAAAGTCACCAGAGGAGTTAAAGGAGAGTGACAGGGAGCATGAGAAGAAGAGGGAGAGAAGGTTTCAGCCACACTGTAACGCGTCCTAAAACCATTTTAAATAATCTATCGAGTAGATTTATTATTAGAAAATTATAAAAGTAGGGTAGACATGTGGATATTATCCGTCTGAAAAAAACGTGCATTCATCAAACAGGTTTGTTTTCCACAGACCTTATTTCCAGCTATTTTCCAAAACCCTTTTGAGAAATCCCATTGCTTTTTGTCGAGGGAACCAGCAGCTTACTTCCTGGTTTAGGACGCGTCACTGGCTGCACCTCTCAATATGATGCCAATATAAACAAGGTCTTCTGTCGGCTCTGTACATCAATGCCGACCTATGCTGACAAGTAAGTGAAGAGTAGAAAATATAAAAGGTATTGGCTTTAGGGAAATGTCCCAGCAGTTTAGGAGAATGAAGGTTCTAATCTAACCTACTATATGTCTAACTCCTGATAACGACATGAAGGCAGAAAGTGCATTATACAAATAATAATACTCATAACAATAGCAGACATTTTTTAACAATGACCACAATATAATTATTTTAATAAACCAAATATGAACAATTGAGGAAAATGAGGAAGAACTGATGATTCAAATGTTGTAGTACAAGTAGTAATGTAGTTAGTGCATAAATTACTATTGCAACAAATGTGTTAATTTTCTTCATTATTAGTCGATTTTTTTTGGACGAATGCTCCGGGCCAGTGGTTACAATGGTGGGGCCAGTGATAATACCCTTAATGTCTACCCCTGCTGCTGATATTGACTAAACAAAGGCTGCCTGTGTGTCAGTGTGTGTGTTCTGAATAGTCTTAGGGTGAAGATGGTCAAGGGTCAAGTGTCTGGGCCTCAGTCTGACCTCTTGAGTTTGTGCAGGCAGAGTGCATGGCTTATTTTAGGAGAGAGGACTTCATGTTTCATCAGACTAGGATGCTCAAACAAGCGAGGTTCTTGACTTGGGAGATTTGAAAACACTGAAAATAATCTTACCTGACAAAAAGGCGACTTTTTCTTTGAGGATGGACAGAACCTCCATTGCTCTCATCTCCTCATTTCTCCTGAAACCTGGATCATGAAAAGGGAGAGAAAGAGAGACAGTTAGGTTTGAATGGAGAATACAAAAAAACACACACACACACACACACACAGCAAAGAGGAAGCACTGTCTGTGGTTGGAGAAACAGTAGCGCTGAGACAAAGTGAGGCCAAACGATGGGGAAGTTCAAGAAAAACAAAGAGCTGTTGTAGCTCCTGCTGTTACAGAGGTGAAATGGGGTGAGGCGATATTCATTTCGATAAGTCACTTCAGTTCCCGTCAACTAAGATTAAAGCAAAACACTATTCCAAATGGTAGACTGTGTGCTGCAGGGATGAAGTTGAAGTTCACAAAAACATAATAGGATTTTTGTATTGAATTTTGATTATTATGGAAGTCTTACCATCATCAAAAATAGACACACATCTTTCAATTACATGTGGTCATTTACAAACTTAACACAATCGCATGGCTTCAACAAATTACTACAGTTCCAGCAGGTATAAATATAAAATCTACAACGTGGAAAGGTCCAGTTAGAACAGTTTCCAAGAGTCAACACAACCAGCCAAACAATGCAAACTAATGAGTAGATTACTAAAAACATCTCAAACTCTTCAAGCTTGTTCGCACCACATACCTAAATGCAGCTATCTAATCAATAACCAAATGAATAAAAACACTGGCTTCATGATTAGGGAACCAGAAGTGCAAAAATGCTCTGTGGTCTGACTTAAACAAATCAAGAGTTCAATTGAGAAGAACAACATGTCTAATGCAATCATGCTAACATAGTGATGTTACCAGGTATAATGTTAACCACCAAGGTAGTTTAATGTGTCATTTATTATTTAGCAAGAAATAATCCTAAATGTCAACTTCATGATTGCAAGAAAGTACCAATCAAGCTCAATCCTTCCAATAGTTTTTTTTTTAGATATTTTTAAACAAAACAGACCAAACAGCTGACAGATTGCCTTCCTTTGAGCCATGCTGCTAACATGGTGAAACATCATTTAAACAATTACCCCATTTAATCATTTTTATTCGTCAACTACCAGTTTAGAAATTGACACAATTCAACTTTCAAAATGTCTCTCTCCTTTCCCGACAAACCACAGTGAGAACATTTTCTAAATCGACTATTATAGAGGGCTAACCATCTGTCGGATAAGAACAATTCAAAAACACGTAGCTCCCCACTTCAACTCTACTTTGCCTCCTCTTAAACCACTAAACTCTGACATTTTCCTGTAAATAAATGTCCGCCACCACCTGTTCATATTCAATGATGAATCCCAACCTTTAGTCGCCTCATAAAAGCTTCAGTATTTTCTCAATTTTGGCTTTCTAATAACTGAAGCTATTTCTGGGAAAGATCCTCTGGCGAAGCACATAATGTGTTTTACATACTGGTTTGTCTGGAATAAATGGAAGAAGATACTTAGCAAGAGCAGTAATGCAGAAAAACCCACAGCAATAATCCAAACTATAAATTGTCAGCGTATAAATGTCAAGCTGGATCTCATGGGCGTGATGGAACCAGAGATCCCTCCTCTGCACAGCTAACATTCTGTCAGAAGCCAATGAATGGCTGTCAGGGGATATCGAATAAATGAAAACCTGTTCAAACAACTCCTACATATAGACACACAATTCCCTTAAGTGATTAAACTCACTTGTCATCTTCAACACACACAGGTGGACAGAGTGAAGCCCAGATTTTGTCCTTCAGACCGAGCAGAGGTGTGTTTGTGTGACTGATGACCAGACGAGTATATAATAAGTGTCTCTTTTTTCCCCCTGTCTGTTTTTGACATCTGTTTTTTTCAACTGGGCTTTTGTGCCATAAAAAAGAAATCCTATTTATGTTCCTGTTTTAGCATTTTATATGGAAATCAGTATGAAATGACCTTATCTGAGAGGTACATTGTGTCAACATATGTTATTCACATGCACTAGTGAATGAGTATACTTAAATCTACTATTAATTACTTGAAGTGAGAGAGAAAGTGAAATTATTAAATCTTATTTTACGGCTGTGCCAAATAGATGTAAGCTTTAAACCTTCAGTCATAATTTTGATATTCAATTCATGGGCAGCTTTTTTTGCACTCCATCATTGAAGATTGAACTTATTGTCATTAGGTAGTACAGGCACTATGTAACAAAACGGTTTCTCTGCATTTGACCCATCCTAGTGTTAGGAGAAGTGGGCTGCCATTATGTACGGCACCCGGGGAGCAGTGCCTTGCTCAGGGAGACCTCGGTAGCACTTGGTCTTTCCGGGACTTGAACTGGTGACCTTCCAGTTGCCAAGACAAGTCCTGATGGACTTCGCCACCATTATGCCTCTTGATTCTGTACAAACATGGTATTTCTTTACAGTTGCAGACAAGGAGAGGCAACACTAATATTATAAGCACTTTGGAATATCATTTGTGAAATCATATTCTGGTTATGGCTCCGTAGGATTCTGTGTAATTCAATATTTTTCAAGAACTTCCAAGCATTGTAATGAAACAAAAGATAAAATGTATTTAAAAATAGATATAAGGTCAATTCAAAACGTGTTTTTAAGCAACCAAAAATAATGTTTCAATCATATTTGATGTCATTTAGCAAAAACAGCATTTTCAGTACGGTCAAATGGCTCTCCTGGTTATTGCACTAAAATAGAGGCACACACCTGTAATAATAAGGTGAACTAGCAGCATCATAAATAACATGTATAAAACCATATATGTAACAAAAACTGATATTCATTAAAAAAAGTTATTTTCATTTAAAAAAAGAAAACATGACAGACTCAAAGCTTAATTCAAAAACATTGAACGTAGCTTTCAATTCATAAAACAGCATTTGGAACAGCCTTGTTTAATTCTGGTCTCTCTTCATTGAAAGTCTACACAGTGTCTTATAGTGTGGAGTTGAATGGGACACACACACACACACACACACACACACACACACACACACACACACACACACACACACACACACACACACACACACTATTTATTACATAATGAGTGCCGTGGATTGTACTCCAGTCTCTGCGCTCAGCAGGTCGTCGTGTTTATAACTGGATGCTAATGAGATGCTAATTCCTTTCCGCCACCGGAGGAGATGGATGAGGATCAGGACGCGTCTTTATTTGTACTGTTCCTCCCTTCTCTCATTTGTCTCCCGACTTCCCTCAGGGCGCCACAAAAAACAAATGATCGTGATCAACTACGTTTCCCACTGCGCTCCTCCTGCGGAGAGGGAGTGTGTAGTTATTCATTGATGATGTATGACAGGAGGCTACCACACACAGAGAGAGAGAGAGAGAGAGAGAGAGAGAGAGAGAGACTCCATTTGGAGGAACCAGATTTACATTTTGTTTAGAGAAGTGTTCCGTTAAGCTGCAACTAGTAATCAATTTCATTATTAATGAGTGTGTTGAATATTTTTGGCTAACTCCTTAGTTATTAAGACGTTGGAAAATAAATAATCATGACCAATTAAGCCAAATAAAACAAAATAAAAATAGAGAAAATAAGCAAATAGTTACATTTGATTAAATCTGTCTGGGAATTTTCTGTAAATGGTACCAATTGAAAAGTTTGTGCGCTATGTTCAAATGATGGGCCAATCTTTTGACATTTTATAGACAAAATTTGAAAAATAGAAAAGATGAATTGATATAAAAAATGATAAGTTTGGACAAGAGAATGTGTGGAAATGTTGCATGATCAATAACTCAAAGCGATTTTTTGATAATTAAAATAGCTGCATTATTATCACATGTGTGTGAAGACTGCTATTTTTATATATTTATTTTTGTGCGTTTTTTTATGTATTTATTCTGCATATGTATTCGGTGAGAAACGGCATTTCTGTCTCCCCGTTTCTACGGAGCAAAGAGTTTTTCTTGGCAATGGTCCAATCAATGAATCTTTACATGTGATCATATACTATTTCTTGGTATTGTTTATACAGTCGCATGCAGCTGTCTGGTTTACTGCACTGCATGTAAGCACTTGCTTTTTTATCTTGTTTTTTTGCTTCTTGTTTTTGTACCCTCACCATATCTGTCTATCGTCTGAGTGTTTGCTTCCCTGTCCCTGAATGTTGCATCATCTTTTAGTTTTGCATCAGGGACATGGAGAAACTAAATGTTGTTCTGTGTTCAGATTTCTGATGTGTTTCAAACTGTATTTGCTAAACATTACCATATACTTTATCAACAGTACAATGTGTATCATTGCCCATTAATTACAGTAGTAATATCTCAGCCATTGCTGTGTTCATCTAAATGTTGGAGTGTGTATACGACGTGCACACACAAAAGGTTAGTATCATTTATACCATGTGCGTAATTAATCTTCTAAAGCAGAGATAATCTTTGATGTTTCCCACCAACGAGTTGTCTGATTGGCTGTCGGCCATCCGCCAGTAAGATAATCAAAGGTCAATGAAAAACTTGTTGACAAGATGAAAATCTGGAAACCACAGTGTGTGTGTGTGTGTGTGTGTGTGTGTGTGTGTGTGTGTGTGTGTGTGTGTCTGTGAGAGAGAGTGTGATTAAAATAGCCCAATTGCTTTTACAATAAATAAACATTGAATCTATTCTTTTTCGCAACTTTCCGCATATTTCACAACTTCCCGCAATTTCACCGCATAAAATCACATAAAAAACCCTGCATGTTTAATTGCATAATCAAGGATTTTTGCCCGCCTTTTTTCTGGAGGGTCTAGTTAATATAGCGTTGATTTCATGCTGTGCAACACTTATTACCTGATGATTACACGGCTTATAGATCCCTGTCGAATGTTCTGCTTCTAAATGTTATTCAATCTGGAAGTATCTCAACACGATGCAATGCTATCCTGCTATTTAAGAATATCATACAGTACAACCCCCTGTAGATGTTTGCAGCTGTGTTGAAGTATTTCTATGTTGAGGAATGTCTCTTCTACCGAAAACAAAAAGGTAGGTTTACACACAGAGACATCACTTCCCTGTGCTCTGCAGAGCTCTGCG